AATGCAAATTTAAGACTATGGATATATCCTGAAGATCTGATATTAATTGGTTTTACATATGATTATAATCAATTAATGTTAGATATATGGTTATAAAAATTTGAATAATTTTATCTAATTTCTTTCAGTGGCTCATTAACATAATTGATCAGGTAGCATGGGGTCAAAGATGGGAGTTCAGTTCCCTTGTGACTATAAATCACCTCTTGATGACCACTAACCCCTTTGAAAACACATGCTATAGGTTATATAAGGAGACTGGGAAAGGGAAAAGATGACCCCACTTAACAGTATCACCCTGACTAGAAAAATAACCCTCTATGAGAAGCTAAACATTCAGAGTATATGTATACAATTAAGCCAGGTGTGGTGGCATGTGCCTGTAGTCCCAACTATTCAGGAGACTGAGGTGAGAGGATCACTTGAGCCCGGGAGGCTGAGGCTGCCATGAGCTATGATCATGCCACTGTACTCTAGCCTGAACGACAGAGCAAGTCCCTGTCTCTTAAAAAAAAAAAAAAAAGGACTATGTCTAATTAAATACTCACATATCAATTAAACAATAATTCTGTGTGTTATTCAAATGCTTCTCACGTATGGCAGTTTAGTCTTGGAAATATAAATTCATGTGTCAATAAGTGTGTTAAACATTGAGTGGAGAAAATGAATAAAGATAAGCTCTTTCAGTCTAGTGAGGAGACAGACATGGAAACAAACCGTGGGATCATGACATGCCAAGCTGTACAACCGGGTTATACATATGGAGCCATGCAGAAACATGCCTAACATATCCTAGGAGGGCAGAGGAAGGAGAGGGAACCACCAGGGGAGGCTTCAAAGAAGAGGTTTTGTTGGAGCTGAATCATAAAGACTGAGTTGATGCCTGCCAGTCAGAATCAGGGGTTAAAGACAGGGAAGAAGCATATTCAATAGAGAGGAACTTATCTATGCAAAGAAACATGAGGACATTGTTCTTTTGAGGAGCCACAAGAAATGCCTGGAATACAAAATATGTTCTTGTAATTACAACAACAGCTCCTATTTGTTGAGTGTTCACCAAGGATATCCAGCACTGTCCTAAGAATTTATGTGAATTATTTATGTGAATTATCACAATGAATAGTCAATCTCCAGCCAGGTACGGTAGCACATAACTGTAATCCCAACACTTTGGGAGGCTGAGATGGGCAGATCACATGAGGCCAATAGTTTAAGACCAGCCTGGCCAACATGGCAAGGCCCCATCTCTAATAAAAATACAAAAATTAGTTAGCATGGTAGTACACACCTGTAATCCCAGCCACCTGGGAGGCTGAGGCAGAGGAATTGCTTGAACTCGGCAGGTAGAAGTTGCAGTGAGCTGAGGTTGCGCCACTACACTCCAGGCTGGGTGATAGAGTGAGAGAGTCTCCTTTTAAAAAAAAAGTCCATCTCCTCATAATAAAGACACTGAGATACCCAGAAATTAGTGCGGTAACTAGCTTGAGGGCTTCAGACCTCTTTAGAGGTGGAGTCAGGTCTCATGTCCTAAGTTCCTGGAGCCTGTACTCTTTCCACATGTAGTACCATGTCGAAGAGGAGGCAGGTGAAGATACAGGCGCAGGCAGGAACCAGGTGATGATCAGCACTATAGCCGTGAAGAGCCATGGAAGGGTTTACATGTGGGAAGGAGTGGCTGATCACATCTGCCTCTGGAAACATCAGTGACACGTGGACTATGAATCAGAAGGGATGAGAACAGGGCAGGAAGATCATTTTGAAGGTTACTGCAATAATCCTGGCCACAAATGACAGGAGTCTGAACAATTCAGTGAGAACTGAGGTGAGAAGCCAGGCAGAAGAAGAAGTGGAGGAGGAAGTATAGGCTGGGGAACAGGGAGACAGGAGTTTGGCTGTCAATGCATTAAGGATGAGGTAATTGGGGGCCATCTGAGCAGAGAGGTCCATCAGGTGGACACACCTACAGTTCAGAAGCCAAGAGAAGGCTGAGCCAGAGTTTCAGATTGCAGCAAACACTTTTCCAATGTGAATGCACCAGGGAACCTTACCTCAGAGGACTCCACAATGATGTCACATTAAAATCTTCCACAACCACCCCCAAATAAAGGTTCTTTGAAACTTCTTTTCCCCAAAATGATTTTAAAATTCTAAAACACATTTTTTGGGGAATCAGCTGGTCTACCTGAGCTATCCCAGGCCCAAAACAACTTTCAAGACTACCTGGGTACATTCTGGTGCTGCTACCAATGGACCCTGTAATTCCCCCTGCTTCAGTTAACCAGTGAAACTAGTTCAAGTGTACTCCAATGAGTCCCAGAGTAGCCCTCCTCAGTGCAACTTGCAACTCTACCCTAAACAGCCTGGGAAGTTCAAACTCTGGGTTCCTAAAAATGGCTCCTTGGCAGAGCAAAGCAGTAGAAACACTGCCTCTCTAACTTCTTAAAGGTACTTTCAAATAACTTGGTAGCCAGAGGTAATATTTTCAGCACCCTGAGTACAGGGACACAGTATCTTCCTATCCCTACATTTTATTCAATGTGTTTTCTCATCTTTTTTTTTTTTTTTTAAATTTTTTTTTTAATTCTCGGTCTTAAGGGTTTTTTTTTGAGACGGAGTTTCACTCTTGTTACCCAGGCTGGAGTGCAATGGCGCGATCTCGGCTCACCGCAGCCTCCACCTCCTGGGTTCAGGCAATTCTCCTGCCTCAGCCTCCTGAGTAGCTGGGATTACAGGCACGCGCCACCATGCCCAGCTAATGTTTTGTATTTTTAGTAGAGACGGGGTTTCACCATGTTGACCAGGATGGTCTCGATCTCTTGACCTCGTGATACACCCGCCTCGGCCTCCCAAAGTGCTGGGATTACAGGCTTGAGCCACCGCGCCCGGCTGTTTTCTCATCTAAAATAAATGAATGCTGGTGAGTAGGCTGACCAAAAAAATAAATAAGTGAATGAATTAATAAATAAAATGGGCCGGGCAAGTTGGCCCACGCTTGTAATCCCAGCACTTTGAGAGGCCAAGGTGGGCAGGATCACAAGGTCAGGAGTTTGAGACCTGCCTGTCGACTATGGTGAAACCCCATTTCTACTAAAAAATACAAAAGTGAGCTGGGCATGGTGGCGCACTCATGTAGTCCCAGCTACTTGGGAGGCTGAGGCAGAAGAATCACTTGAACCCAGGAGGTGGAGGTTGCAGTGAGCCGAGATCACGCCACTGCACTCCAGCCTGGCAACAGAATGAGACTCCATCTCAAAAAATAAATAAATAATAACAAATATAATAAAATGATAATCATTTAGGGATTCTCTTATTGCCAACCCAGTTTCCTAGCCTTAGTCATCGGCCTCTAGGAATATTGTTGAATGAACTTACCAACGAATGAAGGAAAGTATCATTAACCAACTTTATTTAACTTCATTTTCACAACACCTTTCTTTTTTTTTTTTTTTTTTGAGACCAAGTCTCACTCTGTCGCCCAGGCTGGAGTGCAGTGGTGCAACCTCAGCTCACTGCAACCTACACCTCCGAGGTTTGAGCAATTCTCGTGCCTCAGTCTCCCGAGTAGCCGAGACTACAGGCATGTGCCATCACAACCACCTAAGTTTTGTATTTTAGTAGAGACGGGGTTTCACCATGTTGACCAGGCTGGTCTCGAACTCCTGACCTCAGGTGATCCACCCACCTCAGCCTCCCAAAGTGCTGAGATTACAGGCGTGAGTCACTGCACCCAGCAATGACACCTTTATTAAGCAAGGTTTTAGAAATTCAAATTAACTTATAGAACACTAAGCCATAACATAGTAGCCCAATTTTATTTTAAGTTTTAATGTTTTCCACACCCATTTTGTATGTCCTCTGAGGCTCCATAAATGTTGCCCCTACTGATCCAAACTCATGTTACCCTATCCCTTAGAGGTACTCTAAACAATGTCATCAAAAGAGGAAAGCAGCCTGAGTCAGTATACCTGGCTACTGGTTGAAGGGTTAGTTTTATATCTCTACCTTTCTGGACATTAAATTGCCCATGTATAAAATATATTTAATAAATATATTTTAATCACCCACTGGGGCAATCAGATAAGACAACAGATATAACAGTATTTCCAAAAAGCATAAAACCAAAGTACAAGACCAAACCAAGTTCATATTGCTTCCCCCACCCGCCTTGAAACTTTACCGTCTAACTGTCTACCTAATCAAATTCTACCCTTCAAGTCTTTGGTGCATGCTCATCTCTTTCTCTCTCTCTCTTTTTTTTTTTTTTGAGATGCAGTCTCACTGTATAGCCCAGGCTGGAGTATAATGGCACATTCTCAGCTCCCTGCAACCTCTGCCTTTCAGATTCAATAGATTCTCCTGCTTTAGCCTCCCCAGTAGCTGGGACTACAGGTGTGCGCCACCACGCCCAGTTAATTTTTTATATTTTTAGTAGAGATGGGGTTTTACCATGTTGGTTAGGCTAGTCTCCAACCCTGACCTCAAGTGATACACCCACCTCAGGCTCCCAAAGTGCTAGGATTACAGACATAAGCCACTGCACTCAGCCCTGGTGCATGTTCACTTCTCTAAGCAACTATGCCACCCTTCTCTTTTCTGATCTTGAAACTGGACCCATATTGTTCCCCTCTGGATCTCTCCTGTTATGGAGGTGGGTTTGTTCCCCATTGCCCCTCACAACCAAAAGCCCCTGTAGAGCAAAGACCACTCCAGCTCTGTCTGTGGTGTTGCCCTCAACCCCATGCTCCTAAGTAGCCCTCAATCATGACTGTGACAGAATGATGATAAATGTGGCCTGACCAACATGTTCTGAGCTAAAAATGTAACGTGCAGCCCATTTATAATTCCATGCATTATACAGCACTGCTTCTAAATAGGTCACCCAAAAGTGTGGCTGAAATGATCCCAAAATAGACATGGCCCTGCTTTTCTGGCCCTTGTGTCATTTCTAGATGTGAGCCTCATCTAAACATCCCAACTCTGTTACCTCTTGGATTGGTTACCTGCACCACTGTTGCTAAGCAGGCTGACAGAAAGCTCTTCTGTTCCACTGAAGTTCAAGAAGGACATGCCGTCACCAGGCTGGCAGGAATTGCTGTGCCTGCAGAGAACAGAGGCCAGCCACCTGGCTTAATGTAGATCATAACCTCTTTTTCCTGCTCACCCTATATCCCAGGGGGTGGGGGATGGGTTCATCAAAATCAGGCCTGAATATTCAGCCACTCAAGCTGGTAGCCACTGGAATCCTTATCTTAAGCCACCAGGCCACAGTGCTTGGTTTGTATGTCAGTGCTGGCTTCTTGTGGCCCTGGCACCCTGGCTGCTTTCCCACCACCAAGATAGACCACCCGCCCTGTCTGCCCTATGCCTCCCCAAGGATGGGTGTGAGGTGCTTGAATATATGCACCAGAGCTCATCTGGTTAAGAAGGTCATGCCCTCCCATATACCTTATCTATCCCATAGGGTGTCAAGGTGACTGAAAGAGGGGCCGAAGACTACACTTTGCAAAGTGTTTCCTAAAGCCACAGGAATAGTGAGTCCAGGTGTAACCCAGGCTTATGCCTCTCCAGGCTTAAGTGATTTTCCTCCTACACCGACTCTCGTTAGATGCCTTGTAACACATTCAGAGCTTTGGTTCAAAATGTTTCTATAAACTTAAGCCTTCATTTCCATTGCTCTTAGCATTAACTTCTTCTAAACTCAACAGTGGAATTTATTTCTGAATGATCAAAATGACAAAAGTCATAGAGAGGTTGCCCAAAACACACAGTATGAATCTCCTGTCTCAGCGTTCCAAATCCAAAGAATTTCCTCTCTCGAATTCATCTTGGACTGAGGTTTAGAAAAACCCATGTTTGAGGTTTAAAAAGTGTGTTTTGGATTCAAGATAAACCTAAAACAGAGCCTAGGTAACATCTCAGGCAAAAATGTCAGGCTGTTTGCTTTGCCCTTCACCCAGTGAAGGGAATGCCCCTGGCCAATGAAGGAAGGCCCTGATTTCATTCTGTCTTTTCAAGTCTTCTAAACAATGCTTTGCCAACAGTCTGTTCTGCACATTGTCCTGGGTGCTGGAAAGTGTTCTCAGGTTACCTTCCAGAGCCCTGTGCACATCCTCACCTTCCAGCAGCTTCATGATATGCTAACTCCAACAGCTCTGCAGAGGAGTGAGTTGGGTCCCTCTGCCCGCTGCCCTGCAGCTCCGCCATATTCTGTCGGGTCTGGTGGTGGATCTGGATGGCTTCTCCGGATGGTCCTACCCAGATAAAGAACCACTGAGCATCATTCCCACCTGATAGCTAGTGCTGTGCACTTAACTATACTCTTCCTCCTTTCTAACTACTGAGATACAGATGTTGGTGAGATTGAAAGAACATACCACAGAGGAACATTATACAAGGGATCCTCTGGCTCCCAGAGGATACCTGCTCTTCCAAGCAGGACCCATCCTACTAAGGAACATCATCTTTATCATCCCAATTCTGCCTCATGTGTGTCAACTGAGTCACCACAGTGAAATATACAAGTATAGGAGGCACAGACCCTTGCCAGGAGGGCTAACACAAACTCAAGAGGGGAACAGATGTGAAACACCAAATGATTCTGTTAATAACTAGGAGAGTAACAACTGTGACTCTAACAAGCAGAAGATGCTTAGGTGCAAAAAAGACAGAATAGGAGGTAAATCAGAATTAGTCAAGTTTACAAAATGAGGCTTCCTGGAAAAAGAGAAGTTGTAGAACTAAGTGTTCAACAAAGTTAACAGCAGTTGAAGGAAGCAGGCATCTGGGTAAGTGAAATGATATCTGTGAAATCCCAAACCTGAATGAAAGAGGCAAAATGTGCAGACCACAAAATTAGCCAAGAAGGAAGAGAGCCTCTGAGGATAGGAATGAGGAGGTTAGAGGAGACTGATGAAGGAGGGCCTTGGCTATTGGAAGGTCAGGTAAACAGGAGGAAGAAGCAAAGCAAATTGTTTGCAGAATATGGTTCCAATAAAGTGTGCATGAAGAGTGGGATGAGGAGAAGCACAGAAGCACGAAGAGCTGAAGGTCACTGAAGAAACACTAAGAGTTCTAAGTGACCTAGAAGGAAGCCAGTGGAGATAATAATGGAGGGGAAAGGACACAGAAAGGAACAAGTAGTGTGACTGATTATAGCAGAGATAAGGATGCTGAAAGGGGGTTAGGCATGACCCCCAATTACAGCCAAATGACTCATATCTATTTCTCACTTACTTAACTTTCAAATATTGAAGGCAAGTGCAAAAGAAAATAGGCATTTCCAAAAAAATAAATAAATAAATAAAATAAAATAGGCATTTCCAGGTATTCAGCAGGATGGTTTCCATAAAAAAAAAAAATAAAAATTTGGCCAGGCAAGGTGGCTCACACCTCTAATCCCAGGACATTGGGAGGCAGGTGGATTGCTTGAGATCAGGAGTTCAAGACCAGCCTGACCAACATGACGAAACCTCATCTGTACTAAAAAATACAAAAACTAGCCAGGCATGGTGGTACATGCCTGTAATCCCAGCTACTCTGGAGGCTGAGGCAGGAGAATCACTTGAACGCGGGAGGCGGATGTTGCAGTGAGCTAAGATTGCACTGCTGTACTCCAGCCTGGGTAACAGAGTGCCTGGGTGACAGAGCGGAAAAAAAACAAACAACAGCCGGGCGCGGTGGCTCAAGCCTGTAATCCCAGCACTTTGGGAGGCCGAGGCGGGTGGATCACGAGGTCAAGAGATCGAGACCATCCTGGTCAACACGGTGAGACCCCGTCTCTACTAAAACTACAAAAAATTAGCTGGGATTACAGGCACACGCCACCATGCCCAGCTAATTTTTTGT